AATTTTGGATGATAATCATCACCTGTTGTTGTTTGTAAACTATCAGGCAATGCAGTTAATGATTTACGACGTTGACGAATTAAATTTGCAATATTCGTATTATCAAAACCAGTGGACAATGATGTATTATTTGCTTGAGCTTTATATGGTAATTGTTCAGCATAAAGTAAATAGTCTGTGCGGAGACGTTCGGGTAAATCATTAGCAAAATTTCTTACTTGTGCTGAATATTCATATTTAGCCTATTAGAGAATAAAAATATCAGTATTATATGAGGGTTGGACAAAACTTTGATCGGTGAGATAAATGCTGCTTTTCCACACAGAATAGAATCAAGAGCCAGTATCATTAACTTCGAATTCTATACTAGTCCAATGAAAATCTATAGGAATAATACTTTTTTCTTCAGGAAAAGTCATTTATAAAAATGAAGCTGACTCTGAGAAAGACATTTTTATCGATCGTGTATTGGCATATTTCGCTAGTGAAAAGACAATATATTGGTTGCTCTAATTTCAAGTATCAGTAAAATATACGATTCTAGTAGAAGGATTATCAGGGTGAGGTGAAAATTTGTTATTAAATAATTGGTATTGCTGGGACTCGACCATCGTTTTGTTAACTATTGCTTCTTATAGTGTGATCGTGTAATGTATGTCTTCGTTTTCTTACTTTTTTCCTCTGTCCAGTCATTTATATTGTAGGGTTATATCACTGTCTTCTAATAATATTGAATGCACGTAGTTGATCTCGATTAATTCTTGTTTTAGTCTTTCTCTCATTTTTGTTATTCTTATATGGATGCACGATTTTTCTTAAGTGAATTATGAAGAAGACACACATGTTTCAATTACACACAAACACAATTTGTTTGTCTCCTTTAAAAGAGCCAACGTCTACATCACTATTATTAGCCATTTATTTTTCTTTATTTCTACCATGTTACGCTTTGTTCGACGTTTTCTAGTCATATATAAACAAAAGACCTCGACATGTAATATATATCGTAACAATGTGCGAATAAAAGGAAAGAATAAATTTTCGTCTGGTAATACTATTCGCTTTTACAAAATGTTTTTCTATGCTGATCGAAAAGTTAGTCACTATTAAAATTTACCGGTATTATCTTAGAAAACTGATATCAATTAAAATGTTTCAAAAAGAACTCACTAAAGGGCGAACCGAATAAACAAAATAATGACTGCCTCTCAGAATTCTTCAGATAAATATCATGATTGTTTGTGATTAATAAGATTTTTGCAGTAGTTTCGAGATTCTCGTTAATAATACTGTCATTCTACTAAGCATCATTTTCCTTCCCGTGTATCATTTTCTCTATTACCGTATATATACAGTCGTATCTAGAAGCATTTCTCTACGTCTTATTTTGATCACTGAGTTTTGTCCACTGCTATATTGTATTTGTTGTTAAATTATCTATTTAATATGTCATCGTAATATAAAGCTACTTACTTCTTTTCTTCTCTTTTTATAACTTTGTTGTTCAGCTGTACTCAATGAACTCCAAGATGTTTCATCATCATGTTCGTCTTTAACAGCTTGAGTATAAAAAGGTACAGTTGTTCTAAAAATAAGCAAATATTTCAATTGCAAAAACTTTCATATATATATATATATATACCCGGGTGGTTTTGCTGGTGCATTAATCGATTGAAAATATTTCTTCTGTTCGCCTTTCATTAATAAATAATCGAATAATCTACATTCGATTTGTACACGTTCATCTACATCTTTTTCATCCTATATAGATTAAAATTCATAATTATTTATTAAGTTCATTTATATTTACAAGTAATTCAATATATTTATCGACGGATTTTTGTAAAAATCTCGCTTGTTTATCGCTTGATAATTTACAAAACTTTACTCGTAAAGTAAACGGATTATCCTATAAATTGAATAGAAATTATTTCTTCGTTTTTATATAATATTTATACTTACTGTACTTCCTTTTTTCTTTTGTTTATTAATAAATAAACATAACGGACGATATGATTTAATTCTAATACGTACAAAAATAATTTTTATATAAAAATAATTATCTAACTTACTCTTTTAAAATTTCATCAGAAATGAATTTATTCGAAGGTTTTGGTCGACTTCCTCTCGGCATTTATTTCTAAAAATTAAATTATTAGTTATTTCCGTTTAGACCTATCTATTTAAATTTAGTTTTATTTAATAACTGACGTTTGACAAAACAAAAAATTATCAAAAAAATAATACCAAAGCTCGAGGTTTATCTTGAATTGATATGATAATAAATCTAAAACAAGCAAAAATTAGCAAATGCAAGCATATGATTGAAATCAAATTATTTCTTTGTGATTTAAGATGCAAAAAAAATGTTAATAAAATCATATTCAATTATATTTCAATGTTATTTATATTTTCCATATCGTTTTTTTTTTCTTTCTTTTAATTGAGCATATAACAATAATAGAAACAAATCAAACTAATACAACACAACACACCGGCGAGAATAGAATAAGAATAAAGAATATGAGCTAGTTTAGCAAAATTGTAAAAAAAAAGATATAACTCAGATATGTATATTGAAATATGTACAGTTCCATTTCCTAATCTAATAAATGTTTAGAAATGAGCATTAATTGAATAGAGAATGATTTTATATATATATATAAATGTAAATGTTATTGCTCGGCTTTACTAGATAATAATAATGGATCAGTTTCTTTCGATGCACTCGTTGATGTTGTTGGTGGTTCAGTAATTGTGACAGTTTTTCTTGCAGTTGATGGATCAAGGACTTCTTTTTCGTTCTTAGATGAATTATCATCAATTGGATCGAGTACATTTGTTTTTTGAGATGAACCATAATCATTTGTTGAGGGTGTATTCGCCTAAAATAGCTCATAGATTTTATTGATGTTATAAGAATAAGAAAAATTGAAGAAGAAGAAAAAACTAATATATATGGTCTTTCTCGTAGATTATATAGATCAAATTAGTGAATATACAGGTTTTCTACGGTTAATCATGTCTACAAAATTTAGAAATAAACGCATTTTGCAGTCTCGGCTTCAATCTTAAAATCAAGAATTGTTCTAAATAATATAATGAATTCTATGTAATAGATTCTCGTTAAAATTCATTATGCGACCATGTAATCTAGAGTTATTTAAATGATCATGATTTTTTGTTCGTCACAAGTAAAGAATATTGACTGATATCAATCCTGTTTTATAGGAATAATGTTTTTTCAATGAATCGTTTTCTCACTATTGTATCTTTATTTCCATTAAAATCTAAAGTTTCATATAAATGACAAGAAGAAGAAGCATGCAGTATAAAGTATTAGTTACGGGTAAAATAAAATAAGTGAAGTTTGATTATATATATATATTGTTTTCCCCTATTAGATTTTCGCTACTTGATATAGATATAGTTATTCATTAATTCTATCTTACTTACTGTTTAAAATATATACATTTATTGTAAGAATTCTATAGCTTGAAGCCATAGAAAATAGGTATTACTAGAGAAGAAAAATTTATCTGTGCTATCGTTCATGTTTACATTTTCCTTTCTGTATTCATTAAAATAAATTTAAGTTATCTATGTGATATTGTGAATAAACTATAAAAGATAGCAAAAGAATAGTCTCAGTTAACTAACACATGCACAGCATTTTGTGATATTCGATTCAAAAATAGATTGACTCGAACAAATAGTAGTGAAATAATAATGTCCTAATGTTTGTTCTATTATTTCAGAGCATATAAATAGCAGCAAATTTAACTTAAATAATAATGTGCTTTCACTCACTATTATCTTTATATTACTATTCTTATTCTCGATGATTTCTCATCATTCATAATCATTGAATGTACTCTCGTTTTAAACTAGATAAGATAGATATTAAAAATTAATAAAAATAGTTTTTTAAAGCAAGAAGAAAAAAACATCGGATAGATTTTATTCAACTTACATTAATCATATTTGATGGTCTTGCACGTGAAGGAGCTTTTGATATCATTCGTCCAGATGTAATCAATGGTCCCCAACCTTCTTGTTGAGAAAATGCATAACCTGATCGTGCAACTTTTCTAGGTTGATGTATTTTTTGTTTAATATGTGCAACGAATGCTGCTTTTTCTTCCATACGATATTTTTGATTTAATCTTGCGCGATCAGTTTTATTTGGCATAAATCGCATACGAAAAAATCTAGAAAAATCAAAATCAATTAAAAATAGAATATTAAATATCAATGAAATAATTTACTCTCGACAAAATACAGGTAAAAGTAATATTGCACATGTTATTACTAATGTAAACCAAAAATTTCCAGTTGTTAAAACAGCTTGTGCCACCCCAACATACTCATAATTTGTTTTAAAAAGTTTGAAGATAAATGTTGAATATAATGCAAAATGGAATAGGAAATGTACGGCTATTGTTCCCCATAAAACAAAATGATATAAACCAGTCCAATACCACATTTCAAGTGCATTTTCTAAATTGACAACAACAACCATTATTGTTGCAACAATAAAACCAAACGATTGTAAATCAGCTTGCGTCATTCCACCAGGACGTGTACTATTTGATATAGACAAATATGGAATAAAGAAGATTATACATGATGTTAAAACTCCATGAATAACACTTTCAGCAAAGATTTTTTTATTGAAAAATTCATGATTTTGACCTGGAGTATATCTAAACATTAAGAAAAAGATTCGTATGAAATAAAATTAAATAGATTATTTACAAATGAGGTTTTTTGATTGATTGAGCAGCAGTGACATCCTAGAAAAGACAAAAGATTTATTATGTATTCTCTATGAGGTGCTACTAAAAATGGAATATATTTATATGCTGTGTTTTGCCTGGCGGGTGGGTGGCGCCCACTCGAAATACGAGACTTAGAAAAAACAGTTTATATGAACGTACTTGATCAAAAACACCCAATGCAAGAACAGGTAATGCTGAGAAGAAAACATTATATGTTGCTACGAAGAATGGATCATATAAAGTCTATAAACAATAGAATAGAAAAAATATTTTATTTATAGGATAATAAATTACCTGAGCTGAGAATCCCGAAAAAAATCCAAACCAAAAATGGCAGAGTGTAAATGCAAAATTTTTATAAAAAAAGTAACGTAAAAATTTTGATATTCGCAAGTATGACCAACGTCCATGAACAAGTAAAAGTCTTTCAAGATAACAAAATTGTCCGAAACTAAAATCACTTGCTAATACAGCTTGTCGACCTTCTTGTCCACTAATTCCCACACCAATATGTGCTTCTATAAAATTTTATCAAATATTCATTAAAAATAAACACAATAAAAAAAGTTTTTCTCTTTTACTTTGTATCATTGATACATCATTAGCACCATCACCAATAGCTAATGTAATTTTCTTTTCATTATCCATAACTAATGCAACAACTTCAGCTTTTTGTAATGGTGTTACACGACAACAAACAACAGCTTTACACATTGTACCAAGTTCGAGAAATTTCATTTTTAATTTATCTGTTAATACATGGACTAATGCTGCTCCTGTTATTAACAAACCAAAACCATCAAAACCTTCGCTATTCTGTGAACACATTTCAGTAGTTGTTGCTGATGCTGTTGATCCATTACCATTTAGAACAGTTGGTTGATCTTTATTACCATTCGTATGATTCGTAGAATTTTTTCTATGTTGATCAAATTTCATTACATCAATTCCCCAATCTTTCCAATCAAGTCGTTTCTTTCTATCTTCAATTTTAACACCGAATAATTGTTCAATTTTATTAATCATTTCATTTCGAATTTCATCTAATTTTGCTGCAACACCTTTTTCATCTTCAGCATCAATTATGTTAATATCCATATCATTCGTTAATAAACGACATGATAAACCAATATTATAAGCCGTTTCTTAAAAAACAATACAAAAAATGAAAGTTTTTCTTATAAGGAGTTTTTACTTACCAACTTTATCGCCAGTTAATACCCAGATTTTAATACCAGCACGTGCTAAATTTTCAATACACTGCGGTACACCTTCTTGTAGTTTATCTTCAATAGCTGTAGCACCAAGTAATTTAAGATTTTTTTCAATTTCTTCATATACTTCACTAACTTTTTCATCTCGATTTTCCATACTTGTACTGAAATTAGATTCATTAAGATTTATACATATTATTACGATGACAACTTACTTTGCTTTATCTAATGATTCAGCCCATTTATTATATTCTCCTTCATCTAAATCTTTCCATGCTAAAAGAAGTGTACGTAAACCATCCGATGCAAATTTCTAAAGAAAAAATATTATTAATATAAATAAAATTAGAAAATAAATATTTTCTTACATTTAAATGTTCATCTGTTTCTGCCATTATCTCTTTTTCTGATGCATCCAAACGTTCCTTAATTTTTGAATCAGCACCTTTACAATACAAAACAATTTTTCCTTCTTTTTTAATGATAATCGACATTCGTTTTCGATCATTATTAAAATCAAGTATATTAAGTAAATCATAAGTTTCTTCTTTATCTTGTAAACGAACTGTAATACTACTTTGAGTACGATTCTATAAAACGAAAAAATATGATTTTGAACAAAAAAACACAAAATAATCTTTACATCAAATACAAAACCAAATGTTCGTGCAGCTGTAACAAGCGCATTTTCATCAGGTGATTGAGCTTGATAAATTATTTTTCCATCTTTTTCTTCCGGCATAACCGTATGACAAAGAGCCAAAAGTGTAAAAAAATTATTTACATCTTCATCACCATTTTTAATCGAATCAATTAATTTTTGATCATACCATTCGAAATCTTCCTCTTTTTCTTCAAATTCTAATTGTTTTGATTTCTAGAAAAAAACAAATTTTATTGATTTATAAATAATAATCAAAAGAATTATTCTTACATCAGCTTCTTGCGATTCATTTCCAGCTTCATCAGTTACATATCCATATAATTTTCCGCGTACTGAACATTTATTAAACGTCATTATATTCTAAATCAATAAGAAAAAATTTATATTAAGTATCAATCAGAGTATTTTCTAATGGCGAATGTCTAATGTTAGATAGACTAACTAGTTTTTGTTATACTAATGTTTTAATCTTTTTCATACTTATTGAAAATGAAGAAATTGTTCGTTTAATCATACGGCTAAATATTTACAGATTTAATTGAAAGTGTCTTTTATTCAGCTATAAGTTCGTACGAATATTTCTTTGATTTAATAAAAAAAGCAATTCCTAATTACCTGTGTTAATGTTCCTGTTTTATCCGAGAATATATATTCGATTTGACCTAATTCTTCATTTAATGTTGTTGTACGTGCTTGTGCTGGAACATTATTTGGTGCATAATACATATTAACATCCCAATCAATAAATTTCGATTGTAATAAACGTATAAATTCCACACTGACATAAAGCGATATTGGTACGACAGTATTTAATATAATAATATATGATAAAAATACTAATAAACATTTTTGAACGGCACCAATACGTCGATCTTGTGATAGAAATGTTTCCCATGGTAAATAACTACGAAAATCATAACCAACAAATGATTCCCATAGGCCACTACATATTGTCATAATAGTACACATTACCAATAAGAAACAGAAGATCTAAATTAAAAAGAAAACGAAAATTAAATACAAATATATGGCAAGGCTTACACCAAGAATAAGTCGATTGAGTAAACGATCAATTTGTGTACGTTTAAATGTAGCTTTACCACTATTTTTCATTAATTTTGTATCTGAACCAGCATAACAGACAACTAAAATATAAAAGATAAATTAATTATGAAAACAAAAATACAAAAGATTTGTTTTACTTCCGAAAGCCCATTGTGTATTTCTTAGACGAGTACCACGTAATAAAACATTATCGTTTTTTAATGGATATGTTTTACCTTTCCATGTTAAGTTTCCTTCAAAACGTCCGAGATTATTATTTGGTGCTTCGTATTCAATTTCAGCTGAAAGAAAATAATAACAGTGAAAATTATACAAAAACTTCAATATTTTCTACCATCAAAACTTGATAATTCATTAAGATCTTCTCCAATTTTACATGTTTCTTCCAATGCTTGTCGTACTTTCAGATTTGTTTCTCCATCTAATTCAGCTGTTTCAATAAAACAAAGTCCATTTTCATCACTCGATGATATTATAACAACATCAGCCTTAAATAATTCATTTACAATATCAATCTTTTATTTAAAATTATTCTTACAGTAACAAATTCATTATTAGTCAATTGTATCATGTCACCAACTTTAACATCTTTCCATTTTTTTGTTACAAATTCTTTTCCAACAACAGTCTTTGTTTCCCGATTATTCACTTCTCGATCACTACGATGTCTTGCCTAATAAAAAAACATATTTATATAAATGATATAAAAAATTATTTTTGTAAACAAACAATATCATCACTGGCATCTTTGATTGCTGTTAAAGCTAAGACAAATACAAGTGGTAATATCGTAGTTATTGGAGCTAATGAACTAATTTGTGGAATAAGCTAAAATAGAAATATTTATATATTAATTAACGAGATTAATTTTATATATACTTGTAAGCAAAGAAGAAAGAGAAAATAAGCATTAGCTAATCGACGAAATTGTTCAAATAAATTTTTAGGTAAAAATGTTATTATATTGTATTTGGATGTAGTAATTTCATTTCCCTAAAAATAATTATATAATAGATTTTCAATAATTAAATCAAATCATATTTACCGCATATTGTGTTGTGTCAAGTGACGGATCATTGGCTTTAATCTTTCTACTCTCCTCTGAAAATATAATTATGAATGAAAAATAAAAAAATTATATTTTTTAATACATACCTTCGACAACTTTCTTTTTAGTAAATGGTATTCTCATAATTTAATAAACAAAAAACAAATCTTTTTCACAACAATTATATAATCAACATGTTCTAAACAATGTGATTGTATTAGGAAGAAAAAAAAGACTGATCTAAAATAAAAAATTTTTATCAGTAACATACATAACATCAATCAAAGAAAAACAAATGGAATCTACTAGAAAATAATGATCGAATGAATCATCGGAGTAAGGAGTACTTAATAAAACAATCTTATCTAATTTATATTATTTAAAAGAATAATTCTTATTAATGTCGTTGTGACAAGAAACATAAAAAAATATTAGGTATGCGGTGTGAAGAATCATTGAAGTGTGATGGACACGGTTACTGACTCTGTTACATGTGTTTTTAAAAACTTCATGTATTTCTCTAGGACGATTATATAACGGAGATAAGTTTTATTTCTTGTTATATAATGACTAGTGATAGAAAGCATAAATGATATTGTTATCATCGAATCAAAACAATAGAAGATTAATTTCTATAAAACAAAAATCATTATAGAATAATAAAACGAATGAAATTATGGATTGATAAAAATAATCAAAAAATCAACAATAAACATATCGGGAAAAATATCGTGTATATTTTATTCTGTTTTTTTTTATCAAATCCATATTAGTCTTATTTGATTATTAATAGAAGGAAGAAGATCATAAACTATCATCGGATTAATAAGTTTACAAACAAATATTAGACTAGATGAACTATGATTCATTGGAGATAACAGGAAATTACTTACTCCTTCTACTTCCATATGAACAAGAATAATAACAACACAATGACTTGTTTTGTGGTCAGCGAACGAATGACCATATTACATTGACTTGATGGCGTCAGTGTGCGACATCTATTTTACATGTACAATAAAAGAACTATTATCTCTAAACTAAAAACCCGAGAAAATTAAAACTATATGTTGATATTATAATGAGCAATTTTCGAAAGTTCATTGATAGTATTAATTATCTCTTTTCATATGATATTTAATGATAGATTTGAAAAAGATTTTCATACAAATTAATAAAACGTTGTTCATGCATGATATTATAATTAATTATATGAAATTCGCGTTGTTGTAAAGAATATAAATCTTGAATAGTAAATTTACGATTTAATATTTGTTTTCGATTACATTGATGTACACCAGCTTTATTATTTCCATGATCAAAAAATAGATATCTAAGAAAAGAATAGATAAATAAATTTATCTTTTTTTTCCGTACCCTGTTATTGTTTTAATTAATGGTCGATAAAGATTAAATTTTGTTACTTTAGGTATTTCGTGAATAAATGAAGGTCGTACAAGAATAAGATCAAGAATTATTTCAATATAATATGATGATAATGGATATTGAACTTTAGTCCAATCGATAGGAATACGTGAAAATTTTTCAGCACCAAGAAAAGCGAGTGGCGTTCCATTCATATTTTCATGATCAATTGATGGATATAATTCATTAAGAATATATAATTTACCAATAATTAATGTATCAGGAGCTAAAAGTGGTTCATCACGAGAATTTTTTGATATTGAAGAAGATGATGTAATTGAATGTGTTGTTCGATATTTTTGATAAGGAAATTCATTAATCTGTAGATCTTCTTGGAAATCAGGAGTTAATTTCTCTTTATTAGCAAGTTGTTCTATGTCAACGGATGGATTGATGATTGGTTTAGAATGCACACTGTTCGATGGTTGATTTCGAACTTCTGACCTGATTGTATGTGCTTTAGGATGAGTAGATAATTTTTTTTTAATTGATATACGTGATAATGGTTGTCGAACTGTTGTTTTGTTTATTATGTCTAATTTTTTTAGTTTTGATTTTATTTCTTCTACATAAGATGAATTTGTTGATCGTATATTCATTTTTCTTCTCTAAAGTTTATAGATAAAATTGTTTTCTGTTGCTATCTTAGTAACGAATTAGTTGAAGGAATTTATTAGATTTAAAACGAAATTTGTTCTAATGAACCAGTATAAACAATATTACGAAGAAAAAATCATAGATTAGATATTTTAATCAAATAGATACTATACTAGGGTGTGGGTGTCAGCTGTGGATTACGAGAGAATAGACAGATATACCCATCCACACGCACGCTTCTCCTTCTTAGTTTAGACACTTTTTTCAAACGAAAAAAGCATTTCGTTCTTTTGAATTCAAATTCTCTCACTTTCAAAATAGGTATTTCACTAAATACTTCTTATTGTTTGTTAACGTATTTTACCAACCAGTGACAAGCTTTTATTGTCATAGCAAAAACTCTTTTCATCGAAATGAAAGAAATAAAATATCTAATGATTATTATTGAGTGTTCTTTAGTATTTCAAGTCTTTGTTAGTAGAGCAAGTTTCATGGTGATGACTTATCACCCTGCCTTTGCCAGTACTCCGGATCATCATTAAGATAAATGAGATATCTTTTCTTGTCTTCATCATAATCGAACTTGACAATCCACATTGGATGCACAGGTCTCAATAACACCTCCTCTTCATATGAAAATTTTGATAATTCTGCAATATATTTTGAACAGTACACATTGCCAGTGAGACGAACAATAAAGAGTGTATTCTTTCCAAATTTTTCAGCTTCTTTACGTGATCTTGATAATGATGTAAAGCTAGACCAAATAATCTGTCTACCAACAGCATTCTTATAATCACTGATCATTTCATCTGTCAATTCAACGCCACGATAAAGAGTAGAATCTTCTTTATCATTATCGTACAGATTTAATGATAGTAAATAACAATATGCTCCTAGTGTGTCCACTTTACTCAAATCTTCATCTCTTAATGATTTATTCACTAAGCCATATAAGAATGATTGCATTGAATAAACATGAATGCACCAATCATGAATTTTGTTCTGCATTTCATGTTTTACTTTAAGTAATTTGTTAGCAATTATTTCACCATCAACTTTGTCTCCTGATAAGCGCGCTTCGTGGATGATATCTAGATAAAGATACACCTCGAGATCAAATTAATAAACTCAAATAAAAAGTTTAGAAAGCATTAAATCTAGTACCTTTAGCTGCCTGTTCAACGATTTTGGAATAATCTTGTGAGCTACTCAGATTTTGATATTTTGTTTTCCACTTGTCGAGTCCATTTTCAACCAAGACTCTGTACTTAGCGTCATCTATTGACAATATAAGCTGATGACGTGACGTGACGTGACGTTCTATGACACATCACTCCACAATGTATATTTATTGTTTGAATCTCCTTTTTTAACCAATACAATATTCGTCCTTCTTGTGTTTTTTTATTCGTTATTTTGTCAGTTATTTATCCTTTTTTTACATTTATTAACGCATGTTTTTATTGAATAAACTCATGCCAGGAACAAATAATGAAACGAACACTCGCAACTCGAATGATGATTTTAAATTTTCTTTACATAGCAAATATTTTTCACGATGTTTAACAATATTACCTTCTCATATAAGTTCATTAGACAATAGTCGTGTAACAATTGCATTTTATAGTATAGCTGCATTAGATTTACTTAATTCATTACCTGCATCATTACCATATGATGGATCAGAATTAATATCATGGATTTATAATTTACAATTAATAACTGATTCTGATGTATGTGGTTTTCGTGGCTCAACATGTACAATTACATCTCGAACAACACCAAATCCTTATGATCAAGTTCATATAACTATGACTATGACAGCACTCTTAACACTTTTATTATTAGGTGATGATTTAGAAAATGTTCAACGTCATAAAATCGCATTATCACTTGCTCATCTTCAATTACCAAGCGGTGCCTTTTTAGCTACACGTTTATCAACTGAAAGTGATTTACGTTTCGTTTATTGTGCATGTGCTGTTGCATTTATATTGAATGATTGGTCTGGTATAGATAAAGATTCATGTACTAAATTTATTCTTCAATGTCGAACTTATGAATATGCTTTCGGACAAATACCTAATGCTGAAGCACATGGTGGTTCAACATTTTGTGCTATTGCTGCTTTATCATTAATGGATCGTTTAAATGATTTAGATCAACAAGACAATCTTATACGGTGGTGTTTACAACGACAAAATGAAGGTTTTAATGGTCGACCAAATAAACCAGATGATTCTTGTTATTCATGGTGGATTGGTGCAACATTAAAATTACTTAATAAAGATTTCTTAATAAATTGTGAACAAAATCAAATCTATTTACATGCAACTGAATCAAAAATGACTGGTGGATTTAGTAAATGGCCTGATTCAACAGCTGATCCATTACATTCATGTTTAAGTTTAGCTAGTTTATCATTAATGAATCATAGCAAATTAAAATCTATTCATCCAGCTTTAGTTGTTTCAATAGATGTTGTTGATAGACTTAAAAAAACTATACATTCAAAATGGAAATTATAAATAAAATAACTCTTTTTCTTCTCTTATTTTTTAGATCATGATTTATCATGAATAAACATTATACACAATCATGGTATCGAACATTTTTTACAGCAATATTCGATGATCTCATATATAATATCGATCAATTATTAGAATTTGTACATAAATATATTGAATTACCAATACAAAATAGTTTATCATGCTTTACAAAACTTACATCTCATTATTATCGTCAACCATTATGGTTTCGATTATCTCGTAATTTAACTCAGATACTTGTTCAAAGTTATATAACAACATTTTTTCTCTATTTTATTTTATTATTCTTTGCAAAACTTTATTCATTTGCAATACAAAGACATTATTTTATTGATCCAATTATTTCCAATAATCGACAATGTATTAATATACAATTTATTCATATTAATAATCCTGAATTTATTAATAATCATACACGATTAAAAGATAATTTTATTCAAGAAAATTTTATTATTGGAGAAGAATTAGTTAGACAAACTGATCATAATTATACACAACTTCATGAATTATTTCATTTATTACAAGATATTGATTATATAATTTGTCAGCGATCTCTTTATTTATATGCACGTTATCAAACTTATTCTTCATTGTTACATAGTAATTCTTCACAATTTCGTTTTCTTCTAACAAAATATTCTTCATCATTTACTATTGATGAACCACCATTTCTTGATTTATGTATTCATGCTTCCAATCGATCTCATTTAGAACAAATACAATCTCGTCTTCTTCCATTAGCATCGTATTCTTATACGTCTATAAATTTATTTCTTTTTGATTTTGATTTCACACAAGTTAGTATAACATTTTATGAATTAAATACAAATTCAACACATCTAGAACGTGTTTCTATTCATACTGGTTGGTTACGTGATATATATTCACAATTTTATTCATTTAAATATGATCGTGCTTTATCAACAGTTCTATTCGATGGTTTATCAGCTGAACAAGAGTTTGTAGATTATTTTCAATATGTGACTGTTCCTGTGCCTTCTGATATATTACTTGGCTTGAACGAAATGATTCAAGAATCAATTTTGGTGCTACCATTGTGTCAATCAACACGTTATTTATAAAAAAAACACCTTCCAAATAGATCTAAAGATATTTATTTTTCTTTAAATATTAATCTTATATTGTTTTTTCGTATTTGAAAATAAGTCTGATAAACATTGATAAGATTTCTAAAGAAAACCATGATAATATCTAGTATTCATTTATTTTAGATCTCACTTTTGTTTTTCAGTCTTAAATTTAATATCATTTTAAAATGTTGGACTTTTTTTACATTCTTACCAAAGGTGGTCTTGTTTTATGGTGTGTACCATCATCAGCTACCGAATTTATTAAAATTGTTAATCATGCTATTGACAAAGCTGTCTTACAAGTAAAATTTCAATCTTATGTATTTATTTATATAATATTTTATTGTTTTTTGTTTAGGGTCAAGGAAATATACAAAAATATCTTGCACCATTAAGTCCTCATCAAATTCATTACAAACTAGATAATGAATATCAACTTGTCTTCATTGTATGTACATCGATTATTGTTTAATTTCTACTAATTTCTTTTTTTTTTAGCTTGGTTATCAAAAAACATTAAATATATCATATGCTGATAAATTTTTGGACGAAATACAAAAACGTTTTCGTGATCAATATAAAGGAGATTTAACGATAGGGGGTTTTAGTCGATCATTTCCATTTCGTGCTACATATGAAGAAGTTCTATCTGAAGTTGAATATGCTGAAGAAGAGGCTAAAAAAGCTAAACGCTTGCCTCGTTCCTATGAAGAGTCTGATAAAAAACAAAAAACAGTTAAGATAGTAACAAAAAAAGGTGATGTAGCTACAGATGAAAATAAAAAGAAGAAACCCAAAGTAAATGCACCATCAAATAAACAATCGAAAATTGCTATATCAAAAACAGAAGAAGATGAAGACGAAGAAGTAGAAGTAGAAGAAGAAGAAAACATCGAAGAAGAACAAAAGACAATTGAAGAAACTAAAGAAGAATTATTAGGTGAACATGAAGAAAAAGAACGTATTCCTCTTGAAGAATTACAACAACAACAACCAACAATGTCTATTACCGAAAAATTACAAGCACGTGGTAAAATACCAGCACCTTTTTCAAAGGCTACAGCAAAGTAAGAATAAAAAGAACTAAATTGAACTGTTCTTTAACGAGAAATTTATTCTTTTTTTGTAGTAAACCTTCACCAAAAGCACCGAAACCTAAACAAAAACAAATGGCAACTTCATCGAATGCACTTAAAATGGATACAAATGGACTTGATTATACGAAACAAACAGGTGCTGAAAAAACTGTTAGTATTATTCGAAAGTAGACTGTTAACAGTTCATATTGAACACTATTTTGCCTTTTTTTATAGGAAACTAAGCAAGTAACCACCAGCGCTCCAGTTGCTGCTCGACCCACTGGAGGAGATTTGAAAGCTATGAATGTCGAGTATGTATTTTTGATTGTTATATTTATAGAAAAATAAATATGTCTTTGTTTTATTTTGAATATTAAAGAACATCGAGTATTACATCTGGTTTAGTCGATGGTTTTTGGTCAAAACTTAAAAAAGTCAATGTTTTTGCATCAAAAACATTAACGGCTGAAGATTTACGTACAGGCATTGAAACAATGCGTGAACATCTTATATCAAAAAATGTTGCTTCAGATGTAGCCGAAAAAATCTGTGAATCTGTTTCAAGTAAATTAGCTGGAAAAACATTAGGTTCATTTGAAAGTCTTACAACCAATATTCGACAAGCAATGCGAGATACATTAGTTATGATTTTAACACCTCAACGACGTATTGATATTCTCCGAGATGTTGTCGATGCACAAAAAGCACGTCGTCCATATACTATTACATTTTGTGGTGTTAATGGTGTTGGTAAATCAAC